AGAGAAACGAGAGATTCGATTACACTCTTTGACAAGAGAATGCAAATTTAAATACATCTTAATCTATAGTTGAATTAAAATGAAAAGGTCCCTAACAGTTTGTGTGTGTGTGTGTATATATATGCCTTTTTCAAAAAATGAAAAAATCTCTCTCAACGGAATAGGAGAATGAATGTGAAATTATATTTGCTCATGAGATAATTGGTTGCATTTAGCAACTTAAGTCTACAAACGAATGTGTAATTTGAAAGTTGAGACACTAGGAAGAGGAAGAGTTCAAGACAAGCTGTTGGTGGAAGGGTTTACTACTCAAAAAAGGTTGGGTGAAAGCACCCTGACATTGCATACTCATAGAGACACAGAGAAGCACGCTCTTATATCCTTTATTTTTTTTTTCTATTTCCTTCAATATATTTATGCCACAAAAAATAAGAAAAACATGAGGAATACAATCAATATAAAGAATATCTTGATCATCAGCCAGCGGTTGGATGAAATACTGTTAAGGTATCGGACCAACTGGCTCTGTGCCCCCTCCACATTTGCCAGTGACTCATCCATGTTCTCGTCGATCCTACCAACCAAAGCAGTGCAATCTAATTAGCTCAAATCCTCATACATCAATGAAAAAAATACACAACAAATTTGAACTAAGCTACTTTACTACCTTAAGTTTGAGTTTTGACCAAACCAAAAGAGGTTTATTGTAGACATGCAAGGTCCAAATTCTTTTACTATAAATATGAGCCTTCTGCATGCCTTTGATCAGCATATCACACATGCTTTCGCTCTATTTGATCCAACAGGTTAACAATTGAAACTATCTGGACGAAATCATGTCAAAATGTGAAAGTAGTGTGCAGATGTGACCAAGTAGAAACTTAGAAAGAGTGTTTCTAAATCATTATATTTCTCATTATGCACTCAAAGTGCTGTTATTTCACCAAAGGTGTTAATGAAAGTATGCTGTTAATGATCCCGTAATTTAAAAAGAAATTGTGGGCAGCATCTTAATCTTCAACAATCTAAAGTAAACATAATAATCCACAGTTTAATCCACCATTCCTTTTGCTTTCAGAGTTCAGGAACCAGTAATAGTAATAAGGAAAATCCTATCATATGTAAGAACCAGAAGTTAGCTTAAATTCCTATATAATTTCAAGCATTTCTTTTGGTATTGGGAAAATTAAGAAACAATTGAAATGATAGATGAACCTGATTGCAAGCTCCCCTTGTTGAGAAACCATGGTTGCTAGCTGTGTGAAGATATTGCTAAGTTCATGAATTGTTGACTCCACATTATGAAGAGCTTCAGCTCGACTCTGCATGTAACTATCTTGCAGGGGAACCAACTGCTGGTGCTGTTGCTGTTGATGCTGCTGCTGTAATAAAGGCTGAGAGTCCCCATCTGCTTGCTTGCTGCGCAGAAAAAAACAAGAAATAAGATAAAAGGTAGGAAACCTTTTTTCTGCTCTTGTTCTTAAAGTCAAAGATGTCAATTGGAAACACCTAATTCTTATTCAGTGAGAATTTACTGTCACAATTTAAAACACAATAACCAATTAATCACAAGTAAATGAAAACTAATGTTTCCAAAGATGCCAAAAGACTTGCTACCAGAAAGCTGCAGACAAAAACTGAACTACTCTATGATCATACTAAAAATAGTCACTAATCCTAGCAACCAGAAATAAGGCATCACCATCCCAAATGGAGAACAACATTTCAGTTTGCTCTTTCCTTCTTTTGCACGCTTCAAACAGGTAACAAGCAAGGAAGATCTTACATAGACTAAACAGTTATAAGCTAAAAAAAGCAATAATCATTTAAGTTTTTACATAGAGCCATATCCAGTTGTTCCATATATAGCAACTGGCAAACCATGTTTCTGTCCCCCTTCTACAAGCAATACAAGATAGTCTGTTGATAGCATGAGTATCCCCCACTCCCACCCCTGCCAAATAATAAGAAAAACAAGAAGAAGAAGAAGGCTTGCTAGGATTTATACCTCGGAAATAACTGGGATGATGATGTGGACCATTAGCCCAAGGGGGAGGACTTGATGATGAAGTAGACGCTGATCTAGTAGCCAGTGGTCGCTGGCGAATAAAAGGATTTGTAGAATCTTTTGAAGCATTTGAAGAAAACAATTGCCTTCTATTCTCATGAACCTTGATGTTCTGCATGAATACAAGAATACCGAAATTTAGACATGGCAATGACATGAAGAAAATGTTATCACATTCTAAAACAACAATGTTGTACCACAACATTCAAACTACCTCTGTTCGCATGGTGAGGACTTCTTTAAACTCTTTAGTGGTGCTCATTAGTCGATTCTTTAGGTTATCTACAACTGTTGTTGAATGGGTTGTGGTGTCACTGGAGATATTCCCACTTTCATTTTGTGAATTACAAAGCAGTTGGAGGTCCACTACAGCAGAATTAAGTGCAGTAATGTCTTGCTTTATTACAGATGTCAGTTCTTGGATCT